AATATCATTGGGTTGTTAGTTACAATGTGTGTCACCAAAGTGACTTTACCATCATTTTCTTTGGTTCCGACAAGTCATAAGACTCACAAAGCCATATGTTAATAGAGAGAGAGAACTAACCACCAAACACACAACAAAATCCCTAATTTTTCCAACCGTCTGTCTCTCTTCTCCGTGGTAACTCTTTTTTCTTTTTTTTTCTTTTTTTTTCCGACAATCAAACCCGTCTAGCTAGGTTGTCTCTTGTTGTGTTTGTGACTTATAAATTGTTAAATTTTTGGTGGCATTTTTGTGAATTTTTCAGGGATTGCAACAAAAATGGGTACAGAAGAGGAAAGTGTATCTGTGGAGCTACCAGCACCTTCTTCATGGAAGAAACTGGTTTGTTTCCTCTCTCTGATCCCTTTTTTTGGGCTTTATAAAAACAGAAAAAGCCCTAGACTTTGATGTATAATGTTGAAATCCAATTTTACCAAATCATGTACTTATGAAAAGAAGTAACTTTGAAGAATGTATTTACTAATAGCAAATTGTTAGTATAGATATTGGTTAGGTGATTCAAAAAGTTATAAACTTGAAAGAACAAAAAAAAAACACATTTTGATTCGTCTATCAAACCCTTTTTTTTAAGCCACATTAGACTTTGCTGTGCAGTTATCAAATCATGTACTTACGAAAAGGAAGTAACTTTCCTCTTTGCCTTCATACTTGTTAAGACCTGAATAAGGTATAGTTGTTGAGTGATTCAAAAGTTACAAACTTGGAAAGAACAAACTCATTCTGTTTTAAGCCACATTAGGGTCGTCTTTAGAAATGTAAGTTGCTACTAAAGCAATTTTTTGTAGCTCAAATTCCAATCTTTTAAAAATGCTTTTATGTCAAAGGTTGATACTTCTTTTTCTCTTTTTTTTTTGCAGTTTTTTCCAAATAAAGTGGGAACAGTGAAGAAAACAGAGATTGTGTTTGTTGCTCCAACGGGTGAAGAGATCAGTAACAGGAAGCAGCTTGATCAGTATCTCAAATCTCACCCTGGAAACCCTGCCATCACTGAGTTTGATTGGACCACTAGTGGGACACCTAGGAGGTCTGCAAGGATCAGTGATAAGAAGACTAAGTCCACTCCTTCACCAGATAAAGAGCCACCCAAGAAGCGAGGTCGAACTAAATCTTCAGGGTCCAAGAAAGATACTGAAGAAGGTGAGAAACCAGAGGGTCAAGGAGTGGAGAACTCTCATGTGCAAGAAGAAGATACTGAAATGTCTCCTCCTCTTAAGGGAACAGAAGAGAATGTAACTGTTAAGGATGGCTCTGGTGACACTGAGAAGGTTGCTGAGGAGACTCCTGATCCTGCTCCAGTTCAAGAAGCTGGTGGTGAGTTGAAGAAGGAGCAACCACAGGATCTAGTTGGAGACAGTAGTAAGGAGAGAGTGGAGTCTCAGACTGACAAAGTAGAGGAGAGTGGCACGGTTGATGCAGAGATCAAGACCGCTGAAGCTAAGGAAGGTGCAGGTCAAGGCCCACCTGAGTCTGAGGCCAAGACCAGAAACCAGGAGGGAAATGGTCTGACAACAGAAGCTGAGGGGAAAGAGAAAGCGGCTGAAGCAGAAGCTAATATTTAAGTCAGTAACCCTCTGCCTTGCTCTCCTTTTGTTAGAGCATTAAATATAAGTCAGTTTGTTTCTAATTATCTATCCATACTCTTCTTTTTTTTTTTGTATCTAATCAGATGATTATATCCATGAAAGATGTTATTAGCCTGAGCTGTTTACTATTTGAATAACTTTAGTATTATGACTATGCATGTTATTAACTCTTTCTACTGCTGCAGCCTTTACTTTCTTTTTTACATTTTTGATCGAAAACCAAAGTTATGGACATAACTCAAATTAGTAAAGATCAGCAAAAGGTTGATCTTATAAAGTAATGTTGATGTTGGTCCCAATTTAAATTTGATAGTCGAGAGATAAAAAAAAAAAAAAAAAAGGTTTTGCTTTGAAGGTAAAGTAAGAATCTAATACAAAAGAAAGACCCACAACACTAGTTTTCTTTATATCTTTAGATTCAGTCTCAAGTAGAATCTTTTCATGTTGCCTTCTAAACAACTTCCCTTGATTCCTTCCCTTTGCATGGTCCCGGTGACAAAGGTTTAGAATCTTTACTATTAAAGGAATTAACACAACACTATAAACTCTACTTCTACCCATTTTAACACCACAAGAAAAAAAAAACAAATGAACCTGCTCTGTTTATAAAAACTTAAAAGACATCTCAAAATGCACTTCTTGGATATGAAGTATTCACGCTTCCTCTTGATTATCTTTGCCTTCTCTATCCTCTCACAAACGGCCGTGGCATTCATTGGAACATACGGTGTAAACTACGGTCGCATAGCAGACAACCTCCCAGCTCCTGAAGCAGTAGCAACACTCCTTAAATCAGCAAAGATCAGAAACATACGTATCTACGACGCTGATCACTCCGTCCTCACGGCATTCCGTAACACGGGGATAGAGATCATCGTTGGCTTAGGCAATGAGTTTCTTAAGGACATTAGCGTTGCGGAAGACCGAGCTATGACTTGGGTTAAAGAAAACGTTGAGCCTTTTATAAGAGGTGGTACTAGAATCAGTGGTATAGCCGTGGGAAATGAGATTTTAGGTGGCACCACTATTGAGCTTTGGGAAGTTCTCTTACCTGCGGCCAAGAACGTTTACTATGCTCTTCGCCGACTCGGACTTCACAATATGGTCGAGGTATACTAAGCCAAACACATTGTTGTCATAAATAGATAGACCAAAAAAAAAAAAAAAAAAAATTCTTAAACTTTGTGTTAAACTTCCAACTTAAAATCAAATGATATAAATAAATTAACATTATGGTATATATAAATGACTTCTTCCATTTCTTTTCATTTGACGGTTTAACTTGTAAATACAAATTAAGAAAAAACTTAATTTTGCATATTTTTTAAACACAAATATTGTTAAAATATTTAACTAATAGAAAAACAAACTGCAAAATATAAAAACTCATATATTATGTGGAGAGAGATTATAAATTTTGCATTAAAATTTGAAAATATCATCTGATTTGAAACCGAAACATATTTTAAATGTCATCTATTAAAAACTGAAAATAGTTAATTTTATTTATTAACACTTTGTTTTTATAGGTGTCGAGTCCACACTCGGAGGCGGTGTTTCAGAACTCGTATCCACCGTCGTCATGCACGTTCAGGGACGATGTGGCGCCGTTTATGAAGCCGTTGTTAGCATTTTTCTGGCAAATAGGGTCACCGTTCTACATTAACGCTTACCCTTTTCTAGCTTATAAATCTGATTCAAAGGAAATTGACCTTAACTACGCCATCTTCGAGCATACCAAAGGCATTTACGACCCCAAAACTAGACTTCATTACGATAACATGTTCGATGCCATGGTCGATGCTTCTTATGCTGCTCTCGAAAAAGCTGGCTTCCCTAAAGTGCAGGTACGTATACTTCTTATCACTATCTATGTATATTTATATGTTAGGATTGCTTGAATGCCACGTTTTCGGATATTTGGGTGTTCTCGGTTCGTTTTTTCTTTAATATAGAAACTATTCAGATATTTGAAAATTTCGATTCGGTTTCGAGTATTTTGTTCGATTTTTCGGTTTGGTTTTTTTTGCCCAACGCAAGTATAAAGCTTTTTATTATTAGACATTCGCTATTTTGAAACTAAATACACTATCGTAAAGCAGTGACACACGCTATAAAAAAAAACCTTTGACTATTTTTGTTTAAATGTTTTTTTTTGATAAAATTGTTTAAATGTTAATCTAACGTGTATATGTAAAAAAAACACAAACAACAGTATATTAACACTAACAAAAAAAATACAAAATTCATTTGAACAACATGACTAACGTATGTAACATGTTGTGTTCACTTAAAGAAATGATTCCATTTATTTTTCACAATCAATATTTTTGATTACCAAAAAAAAAAAGAAATGATTCCATGGGTATTAAAATGTCACGTGAACCTAATTCAATCTTTATATTATACCTACGTAGGTCATTGTTTCGGAGACGGGGTGGGCATCAAAAGGTGACCCAGATGAAGCAGGAGCATCAGTGAAGAACGCGAAAACATATAATAAGAATCTTAAAAAACGTCTAAAGAAGAGAAAAGGCACACCGTACAGACCAAACATGCCTGTGAGAGCTTACGTATTTGCTCTATTCAACGAGAATCTGAAACCGGGTCCTACTTCCGAGAGGAACTTCGGTCTGTTTAAACCGGACGGTAGTATTGCCTACGACATTGGTTTCAAGGGACTCAAGGACTCTTCTGCTACACGGTGTGGGTTTGGGACGTCCTTGAACGCTCTTGTTTCGGCTTGTGTTGTTATGTTTCTTCTTCTTCACCGTTTGGTGTGAGTGTATTGTGGTTTTCGATGATTTCAAATTGACCCCTTTGGTTTATGTAAATTGATTAAATCTAACCTTGTAATTCTTGATTTGTTTGTGATTAATCACTTTTTAATTGTTACTATAATAACTTCTTATGTTATATCTGCATGTGGCTATATATTGGAATTTATTGTTTATAAACTTGCATTGTTAGATTTTTCTACAAGCTCTTTAGAGCAGGATTAACGCACAACCCATTAGGGAAGTGCTTATTTGACTTTTTTTTTTTTTAAAGAAAATTAGAAAAATTATAAAAATGTATCAATTGTGGGCCGTCACGTGTCAGTGGGGTCTATGCACAGAACAAGCTTCGAAGCTTAAAGAGGCAAGAGAAGCGTTGATGCTTCACTTTTCTATAGATCCCATCATCCCACCTATTATTATATTTTTTTTTCCTAAGCGTCCCTCCTAAACGTTAGCGTTAAACCTGCTCTTATATATTTATCCAATTTTTCGAGTTACAAATACAATAAAATTAATGATCTAAATGCATGAACAAATATTGTGAAACTACAAATTAACTTTTACAACTATTTTTTCTAACAAAACTATAGAGAACGTTTGTTTCTTATGGTTCCCGTTACCAAGACCAAGGAATCAAATTACAAATTGATTGTAGCAATGATCCTGTGTGGAGAGAAGTCACCCAAGTGGTGAATAATAAAGTAGCAAATCTTTTGCTATCTTCCATGATCTTGAATAAGACTATTTAAGTTAGCTACACTATTTGTTAATACTTAAATACATACACACGCCATTAACGTGTTTTGTATGAAAAACTATAGTTATAATACTTGCGAAAATCTCACTCTTTTCTCTAATTTTTTGTCGTCTAAAATGCCATACTTCACATATTAAAACAACAAACAGGACTTGCGTAAACGTACGTAGCTCNGTGGAGGATGTGCAATGCTGTCCACGTGGTGAGAGTTCATTGGGTACCGTGTTTGTTAGCGTTAGGAGTTCTGTTCTTCACGGCCGTAGAGGAGTACATGCTCCAGATGATTCCGGCTAGTTCTGAACCGTTCGATATTGGTTTTGTGGCGACGCGCTCTCTGTATCGCCTCTTGGCTTCTTCACCTTATCTTAACACCGTTTTAGCTGCTCTCAACACGGTATGTCGTAACAAACTTAGGATTAAAAATATATTTATTGAGTACCCTCAATTCTGCATGTCTCACCTAAAATACTCATTTTAGACCGTTTTTAACTTTACAAGTTTGAAACATAATAAAAAAGGCACACATGGTGATAGGGAAACATCACATACCATATGTTAAACGCAGGATACAGACAAGTGAAACAATATAAAGCTCTCAACATTTTAAGAGATAATGTACATAAACATAAGTTACTAAATTATTAAAACCGAAATGTTATTATTTTTCTTAATAGTTGATCCAAATTTTTTAGAATGTCTATCCTGACCACATGCAAATAATGAGAATGATTAATTTAACTATATTGGACATTATGGTGTTAACTATTTAAATTTTTGGGGCCGTGGAGACAGGTCTTCGTAGGGATGCAAACAATGTATATTGTATGGACATGGTTGATGGAAGGACGACCACGAGTGATCATCTCGGCTTGCTTTATGTTTACTTGTCGTGGCATTCTTGGTTACTCTACTCAGCTTCCTCTTCCTCAGGTTCCAATCAACATATTTCTCTCTCTCTCTCTCTTTATATATATATTAGAGCAAATTTTTAAAATATAGTTTGGAGTACCAAAATATTTATTATTCTATTTGTGATATAACATAAACACATGAATTATATGTGCCATCTTGTTATAGTATATATTGATGTTCTAAACAACTCCTTTTTTTGTAGTGTGATAAGATAAATACAAACCTGGAAAATATTTAAATTTTTTCTTAACAGGATTTTCTAGGATCAGGGGTAGATTTTCCGGTAGGAAACGTATCATTCTTCCTCTTCTACTCAGGCCATGTCGCCGGATCAATGATAGCATCCTTGGACATGAGGAGAATGAAGAGGTTGAGATTAGCCTTGCTTTTTGACATTCTCAATGTATTACAATCAATCAGGCTGCTCGGGACAAGAGGGCAGTACACGATCGATCTCGCTGTCGGAGTTGGCGCTGGCATTCTCTTTGATTCACTGGCTGGAAAATACGAAGAGCTGATGAGAAAGAGACATAATGTAGGCAGTGGTATTAGTTTTATTTCGGCTCGCTAGTTAATTAATTTTGTTTACTTTTGAAAATGTATAGCCTGGACATATTTAATTTAGTTGAAATCTAATTAGTTACATTTACTTTCTTTAAAATGACTCCGATTGAAACGGACCTGACTAAACATATGCGTTATTTTGAAGTTATCATAGCAGTTTCTTATTGTCTTGATACACATATTCAGACAACTTCAGATTACTCATCGATCTCGTTTACCGTTGAACATAAGTTCTTATTGTCTTGAACGTGTTTTCATCTTTCTTTCCACACTTACAAGATACATCAAAAAAAAAAAATCACCACTCAAAATCGAAATCATCCAATCCCTACAAAACAAAAAATCTTGAACTCAAGATATCAGATTTTCTCACATTATGCAACATCAAATTTCATCAATCGATCATGTTACATCATTCCAGGATTCAACGAAATTCAGGAACTAGTAATTTTTGTTTTCTTCACTAAGAATTTTTTAACATTATAGGCCAAGTTAATGTATTTGTTGAGAACTGGTTACACTGGTGCTTGTTTAAAAAAGATCAAATTTTGTGCAAGCAAATCATGCTTTATGGTTCAGTTGATTATAGGAAGGAAGCAAGGAAGCTCTTTGGTGATTGTTGCAATTCCAAAAATGTTGGATTACAGTTTGGAATACATGGATAGAAAACCTAGGTATTCACAGTCATGATGCTGAAGTTATCTCGATACTTGAGAACTTCCATCTCTGAGACTCGACAAAACTCATGCAACTTATTGGAATGCAATGGTTGCTTGCTTGAGTTCTTCTCTTTCCCGACCTGAATTTGACAAGTCTCGGAACATTTCATACCAAGTAAAACTCTTCTTGTTTGTCCTCTTGAAAGCTGTGTTTGGAAGCGGTTTAGGCGTTCTAAACAAAAAAATAAAGAAATACTTTAGAATATCACTAAAAATTATTTTCTTACAAAATAGTTTCCACATATCAAGTGACCAAAATAAATTTTATTAAATAAATAAAATATATTTATATCATTAGAGTTAACTAATCTAGATTTAAAAGTATATCATACATGACACTGATGTGTATGTTCGGAGCTTTGAAAGTTAGAAAACGGCTTTGTACCAAGATATTGTATGTAACATACTAATTATGAATTTCTAAATAGAGTATATAGTTTCATGCTGTATAGAAAGAAACAAAATATTCACGTTCTCTTTGGGCGAGGTGTCCACGGAAACTCTAGATACTCAACTGGTTTGAGTTTAGGAAACACTGTTTTGAAATCCCATTCAAGGCCTCTAAACACGACCCTTTTCGGTATGTCGTAAGAAACTTAGGGTTAAAAATATATTCATGTCTCACCTAAAATACTCAGTTTAGACTCTTTTTAACTTTAAAAGTTTTAAACATAATAAAAAGGTACACATGGTGATGAGTTGGGGAAACATCACATGCCATATGTAAAGGCGGGACACAGACAAGTGAAACAATAACATAAGGCTCTCAACACTTTAAGAGATAATGTACATAAACATAAGTTACTAAATTATTAAAACCGAAATTTTATTATTTTTCTTAATAAATTGCCCGTTGATCCATTTTTTTTTAGAATGTCTGTCCTGACTAGCAAATAATGAGAATGGTTAATTTAATTATATTGGACATTTGGTGTTAACGATTTAAATTTTGGGGGCCGTGGAGACATGTCTTTGTAGGGATGAAAATGACGTATATTGTATGGACATGGTTGATGGAAGGCCGACCACGAGCGATCATCTTGGCTTGCTTCATGTTTACTTGTTGTGGCATTCTTGGTTACTCTACTCAGCTCCCTCTTCCTCAGGTTCCAGTCAACATATTTCTCTCTTTATATATATTGTAGCAAATTTTTAAAATATATTTTGGAGATGTTAATATAGTTTGTATTGATCTTAATGATCACTCCTCCATTTTAATATAAATCTTTAGTGTTAAAAAAAGTTTGGAGATGTTCTACCAATATATTTATTATTCTTTTTGTGATATAACATCAACACATGAATTTATATGTGCCATCTTGTTATAGTATATATTGATGTTCTAAACAACTCTTTTTTAGTGTGATAAGATAAATACAATCCTGGAAAAATATTTAAATATTTTCTTAACATGATTTTCTAGGATCAGGGGTACATTTTTCGGTAGGCAACATATCATTCTTCCTCTTTTACTCAGGCCATGTCGCCGGGTCAATGATAGCATCCTTGGACATGAGAAGAATGCAGAGGTTGAGATTATCCTTGCTTTTTGACTTTCTCAATGTATTACAATCAATCAGGCTGCTTGGGACTAGAGGGCAGTACACGATCGATCTCGCTGTCGGAGTTGGCGCTGACATTCTTTTTGACTCACTGGCTGAAAAATACGAGGAGATGGTGAGCAAGAGACATAATTTAGGCAGTGGTTTTCGATTCGCTAGTTAATTAATTTGGTTTTGTTTTGAAAATGTATAGCCTGGACATATTTAAATTAACTGAAATCTAATTAGTTACGTTTACTTTCTTTAAAATGACTCCAATTGAAACGGACCTGACTAAACGTGTACGTTATTTTGAAGTTACCATAGAGCTTTCTTATTATTGTCTTGATACAAATATATCACAGAATTCAATTATTTCTCGTTTATACGGTTGAACATAAGTTCAGGTTCAAAACCTACGTCAAGGCTCTTAAATTCTTTCCACGTCTACAAGATACATCAAAACAAAATTCACCACTCAAAATCGAAATCATCCAATCCCTGAAAAAAAACTCTTGAACTCAAGATATTGGATTTTCTCATATTATGCAACATCAAATTTCATCAATCGATCATGTCCTTATCATTCCAGGATTCAACGGAATTCAGGAACTAATATGTTTTGTCTTCTTAACTAAGCATTTTTAACATTTAAGACCAATTTACCTTATTTGTTGAGAATTGGTTGTGTTGGTCTTGTTTGTGTTTGTATATACATATATACACAAACATATAGATTTTTTAAGATAAATATTCTATATCATGGTAATGAATTTCTCCATAATATAAATTAACAACATAACTGCCAGAAAAGACAATTGAAATGCAATTGGACAACGTGTTTCATTACTTATTATCTTCCAATAGAAATTGTGTTGAGAGATTAGGTTATTCATTATATTAAATAATATATGAGAAATTACACCCTTTAACAACAACAAAAACATTTTTAATCAAGAAACTAACACCCCCTACTTTTTCAAATTTTTATTTTAACATTTCCCTCATTTTTTTTTTGCTTTCCCTGTTAATTGCTAGATCAAAAATTCACTCTAATATAAGGAACAATGGGACAAGTTCATGCGACATTGGTTAAATTGAGAAAAAAATAATCAAATGTTGTGCAAGCAAATAAAGCTTTATGGTTCAGCTGGTTATATGTATGGAGAAAGCAAGGAATCTCTTGGTGACTGTTTGCAATTCCAAAGCTGATGGATGAGCAATTTGGAATACTTGGTCTTGAAGCTGAAGTAATCTCGACTTTGGAGAACTTTCTCTGATTCTCCACAAAACGCATGCAACCTATTGGACTATCTACATTTGCTGAGGAAACTACCAAATTTACTATCTACTAGGGAGGGTTTTAAATGCTTGGGAATTGAGCCAATGAGATTGTTCATTGACTCTTTTGCAAAGAATAAAGAGATTGATAAAACAATGAAGAGGGATGATGCTCTACAATCCAAATCAAGAAATGATTGTTAGTAGTTTGGCACAACGAATCTTTTAAATTTTGTTCAAGAGTTTGTTTGATATCTTGAAACATATAAATTTTTCAAATTTATATATTTTAAGGTGGTTATAAAAAAGGTAAATCATTAATCTTCAATTTTTAAACTAGAATTGAGAAAATTATATATTTTTGGTGACCAAATCATTTTAAACTCATCAAAAATCAACCGCTAAATATAGTATATAGTTACATGCAATACAAAAGAAACAAAATATTCATGTTCTGTTAGGCCAAGGTGTCCACGGCAACTCTAGATACTCAACTGGTTTGAGTTTAGGAAACACGGTTTTGAAATCCCATTCAAGTCCTCTAAACACGATCCCTTTGGGTGTAGCTACGTGAGCACATGAAGATTTAGGACACATCTCAGCGTCAAGATAAGTGTTTTCAATCACGAGTGTGGCGGTTCCTAGGGCTGACCGGAAATAGCAGATGTGAATAGCAGGTATCTTGCTTTCACCTTTTATGAGAATGATTGGGAATGAAAACTGCATTCCTGGTTTTGTTTGTCGATGCCAACCGTAGTCTTTGCGTTTAGACTGGCATCTATAAACAATCTCTGGGCGGATTAGCCCCGTCATTGCGTTACGGATTGTTATGTTCATGTTTACGTAGTCTGGTTCCTTGAGAGCCACGGTGTTGGAAGAAATCATAATAGCCTGTAGAACAAGACACCATCGACCTAGGGTTTTGATCATGTTGTTGTTAACGTTCATCTTCTTCTTTTTTGTGTGTTCTTGATCGTTCGTTTAGCCTCTCTCACATAAATATATGTTACGTGCAATATGGTTTACCTGAAACCAGAGCTTTGAACTTTCCTTCTGTTTTTATTTGGTAAGTAACAAACAAACGATTTGTTTTTTTTTTTTTTTCTGTGGGACAAATAAACAAACAAACAAATGGTTAAATATGCTAAAAATGAATATTCAGTTCTTAAGAAAACTGCCAATGCTTAAATCTGGTTATATTACGTTTGTTCAATCTTTTCGTTGGCCTATTCTTAAGCAATTTTGTCGTAGACACGACATGTTAATCATGTTTTGTAGGATTTTAAGCAATTTGTTAAAAAATATTCACAGTTCACGATGAAATAAGCACAGATCTTGGTGATGAATCTTGTAGGCAATGACTCTTGACATTTGAGTGGCATAACAATCATCATAAAGTTTGAGTTTCATGAGCCTATTGGTTTGGCCACTAACGTTGAGTCCCATAGTGAAGCACTGAAGCTCAA